GTTATCACTGTCTATTTATTCTATTGAGCCTAAGAGAAAACCTGATAACAATGTAAAAAGTGCTCTTATCTGCGTATTAAGATGGCATTATCGTAATCCCAATAACCCTCCGCTTCCCCAATCTCCCCAATTCCTGAATCCCCAACGATCCTCAAACTCCTAATCCCAAAAACGCCGGTAACGCACTTGTAACGCCTCTGGTGTTCCAGGTGTCCATGGGCGACGTCGATTGCTTACCATCAGGTGATCAGTCTGCTCGTTTATCAGCTTATGCCATAAAAAAGCCTAAAGATTAACTTCAAAGATCAATCCTTTCCTTAACATCGTAACTAAACAAAAGCCAAATATAGAACTGTCATTACCTAGTAAGTAGTACATCGTATCCCAAATAGTACTTGGGAGGGTATAATACCTTAATTGAATCATGTTGAACGAAACACCGTAATTATACTGACCTTATTGGCGAATGGCAATGTCCTTCGGAAAGGTCAGGTGTGTAGTCAACTACTCATACATGCGTGTGTACGTGGAGGAAGGAAATGAATAGGGATAGTTGTGTGTCATATTATGGAATGAGTGCTTCTGTACTGTGAAAATTGGTATTTGATTATGGACTATATGACCTGCTCACTATTGGAATAAGATTAGTAATTAATAGAACTAGTAGAAAATTTAAGTGTGGGAGAGCCATGCTTCGGCACGAAAGGGCCGGCTCGACCGGAGTGATACCACGGCCTCACAGAAAATCGACGTAAAGCAACGCTTGCGTTGTGTGAGGTTACCGAAGGCCCAATTACCCTCCCCTTCCCCAATCTCCCCAATCCCTGAATCCCCAACGATCCTAAAACTCCTAATCCCCAAAAGGCCGGTAACGCACTTGTAACACCTCTAGTGTTCCAGGTGTCCATGGGCGACGCCGATTGCTTAGCATCAGGTGATCCGTCTGCTCGTTTACCTGCTTATGCCATAAAAAAATGGATAGACCACACTTCGTAGAACTTGAAACTAAAAATATTTTTTTGGGAAATTTATATTTTTCTTTGTTTGAGTCTGAGACTGTCTGTTCTCCAATGTATAACATATGAACTTTTTGAAAGACAAACGATAACACATTGATACACATCGTTATTTATAACTTGATAAGGTATTTCAATATCGATCCTGGTTTTATTTTGGAATATGTCTTCAGAAGATATAAGTATATGCAAAATGGCCAATAATATTAGTAGAGAATAGTGATTCACAGCTCCTCTCCCGTAGGTGATAGCATGATAATCTGTAGCCTATATGTTGACCCGACCAGTCAGTAATATTCATGCAAAATTTGAAGTACATACATACACCACTTTTTGAGTTCATCCTGGACATACATAAAGAGAATTCGACAAGAATTTTAAAAATCATATTTTTGGCTTCGGTATCGGTTGTAGATCACGCCCCAAGCATTTGTTTCTCGGTCACATTGGTCTACAAGTGCCTAGTGTAATTTATTTTATGGTCAGCCTAAGAATGCTGGACGTTGGACGCTGAACATATAAAAATTAAACGTCTTCATTTGGTGTTAAGTGGTAGAAGTCAATTAATGGACTAACACTTCATTAATGAAGACATCGGCTAATTGATTTTAGTTAGGGTCTTGTGATTCTTCTAAATTGTAACGTCGTCAACGTTAGCTAGATTGTACAAACATAGTATTTTAAATCATTTCATTTTATATAACACCCACTTTTCACCAAGAATGTTATAAGTCCCATGTAATGGAAGGTGAGCCTATTGCCATATACCGGGCACCCGGGCACAATTCCAAACTCCGTGCTACAACTGAGTTTTTTTTAACCCAGCAATACTTTGCCCGACCCGGGAATCGAACCCGAGACACCTTGCCGGCAGTCGCACTTGCGACCAATCAGCCAACGAAGCAGTCATAGACATTTAAAAAAAATATATTTTGTATGTCAACAGTATCAGCAACGCATGATCAAAATCCCTGGTATTCCAAACTTCTTCAGTCTACTTCTACTTCAATTGTTTTTCTTCAGCTGGACCGCAACTACTACCACATTGATAGTATACGCAATCTTTATGCTGGTTCCATTCAATCCACACTATCATTACAAATTCCTATAATATCGACTACAGTAAACCTTTCTCCTTCTACTGTCAGTTCAAGGTCAAAAAAACAATGACGTAGCAGATATCCATGTCACGTTGAAGCCCTGAAGATTAATAGTTCCTAAACAGTCCCCTTTCCCTAAACAGTACCCTTTCACACAGCGGCCTTGGAAGCCAGTCTAGAATATTCTAAGCCCTAATTTGTGTCAGAGAAACTGTTTTTTAAGCCCTGAATGTTGAATTTTGAATGAAGAATATTGATCGGGGCTAAGTGGAAACTACGTCAATCACTAGTCCTTGGGTCGGTTTAGTTTTATTGACTTGCTGCATTTTTGTGACTATTTAGAAGGCTTATGACTTAGTAGTAGCTATCCTTTACTTTTTGTCGCAGAGAACCTAACGGGTTACTGGGGCTCCGGCTCGACGTGCAGGAGATGGAACGGGGTGGTTTTTAGTCAGTAAGAGTCTGTCCTTCCCGCCTCACCCAAGCGGGAGCAGTCATTCGAAGATTGTCCCCCCTTAAAAAAAAATCCTTTACTTTTTATTATTCTTAATTTTTAAGTTGGCCTTTGTTTTAGCAATATTTAATTGACTGAGTACTTATCAGGTTGGTTCTCCTTTTAGTTTAGTATTGGTTGGCTATGTGATATTTGTTAAAAGTGCTAAGTTTTGGTACTACTAATTTTGGAATCAAAATTTCAAGAACTAGCTTTATACCTTGGTACACATTACACATTAATAGCATATTAGTCACTGCTGACCGAAGGTCTCTTCTCACACGGAGAAGGTTTGAGCATTAATTACCACGCTTACTCAATACAGGTTTAAAACTTATAATTAGAAAATACATATAAGCCCAGATTTCCTTACGATAATTTCCTTCACAGTTTGTTAGCGGTGTCTTAATAATCTAAAAATTTACACAAAAAAAGAAGTTTCGAACCTAGACTCTCATGTACGAGAAGTGGGCGTCACCACGACATACATACGTACTAACATACCACGGTACATACTTACGTTATTACTTTATTATTATCTCATTGCATTCCGAGTTATTCCTAACTGATACTGGAGGGGAATTCCAAGGTATAGGAACCCCGCAATACGTGTTTCATCTTCTCAATTCATAGTAATGTCACATAGACTTTTGGCCAGCTATATTACTGATCTTATATAGGTAACAGTTCTCGTCTATAGTAACGGACAATCTCTTGGATCTCGAGTCTACCGCTGTCCGCAATAGGTGTGAATTAATAAGATAACTAGTCGTCATTGTGCCCAACCTCTCGTCTCAATGTATGATTAGTGTATCCTGTATCCGCCAAATCAAGATCCTGGTTGTTATATACCAAACCTAGTTGACCTCTCTATCTATGGAACTTAGTATGACAGCGCAGTTTAGCTTACATTGGTTGGTCATCAAATTATGGGTAGTGTAATGGTCGGGAAGTCGGTTGCTAGGTCAGGAGGGGTTCTGATAGGATCCTCGTGGCTTTGTGGTTATTTAAGGTTATTTAAGTTTAGCAGAGCCATGCTTCGACACGAATGGGCCGCCTCAACCGGAGTGTCATTTTATAATAGATACCACGGCTTCACAAAAAACCAACGTAAAACAACGCTTGCGTTGTGTTTTGTCGTGTTAGTGCGTTACCGGAGGCCCAATTACCCCCTCTCCTCTTTTCCAATGTCTGAATTCCCAACAATCTACAAATTCCTAATCCCTAAAAGGCCGGTAACACACTTGTAACGCCACTGGTGTTCAAGGTGGCCATGGGAGACACGCCGATTGCTTACCATCAGGTGATCCATCTGCTCGTTCATCGGCTTTACCCATAACAAAAAAAATATGTTTTGGTCTATTCTTTAAACTCTATGTTTCTGGAGATTTTTCCCTGCCATATCTAAGGAAATGTGATCACAGGAACTTTTTGACTTAGAATCGCTTCGATGAAGCTATGAAAATAAAATTAATATTAGTTTCAACATTTATTATGACAAACAACGTATTGTTACGCTGTGTAACTTCCCAGTCAATACATTAGCGTCTAGTTTATAGTGCTAGTAACATTATTTGTTTACACATTTAACTAAAATTTATTGTTACATTTATGTTCTATGGCCCTAGCCCTATGTGGTCATTACATGATTATGTCATTATAAATTAACTAAAAATCGCGGGTTACTCACGTGAATATACTGCGAAAAGCTCTATTAGTTTCGAACCACAGAGGGGTTCTTCTACTTAGCGGCCCACTTAGCCGGCGCGTCTCACGATGGTTATTATAAAAGTATGTTATTATGCGTACACTATTATATAATACCAACACTATTTCATAGTCTTTCCTTTGATAGTTAACATTATTATTTAAAACTCATTATTATTTAAAACTCATTCTTAAATGAGTATCTTCAAAGTGAAACCAATCTTTAATAAACCAATTACTTATCTTATTATCAATAGCTTACTATATCATCACATCTTTATTACATTATCTTATTATGTCTAGTATATTTCTCTGAAAGGAAGATTTAATAATAATATGAAAAATCTTTAACACCCACATATTTTATGATTATATTAGGTATTATATCATACATGTATTATTATTTATATTTATAGTTATTTTCATATTATAATTATATTTTATGTACTGGGATGCCTTTATATATATGTACATTTAACACCCTCGTTTTTTAACAGATACAAACTTGCTTATAACCTTCTGTAATACTTCTCTGCATCACCCTATGGTTGGCTAGTAGAGAATGCAGTCCGGCCAATTCAGCCCGCCATTGTATAAACATTTGTAGAGGTACAAAAAGTGTTAAAATAAATAAATAAATATTTACAATTATATTTCCTTCTTGATTCCAGGTAACCAGTAACCATGGGCACGATGTTCAGGAGTGAGGAGATGGTGCTGTGTCAGCTGTTCGTGCAGCCTGAAGCGGCATACGTCTCAATGTATGAGCTCGGAGAGGCTGGGATTGCACAGTTCAGAGATGTAAGTTTATAATAATTAATATAGATGATATAGACGGCCCCGTTGGCTGAGTGGTCACAAGTGCGACTGCTGATCTGGTCTCAGATTCAATTCCCTGGTCGGGCAAAGTATTATTGAGTTTTTTAAAGAAATTCTCAGTAGTAACACGGAGTCTGAAAATTTGCCCGGTATATGGCAATAGGCTCACCCCCTATTACATGGGACTCATAAAATAAATAGTGAGAAGTGAGTGTTATTGGCATTAAATGCTGTAATGTGCACCAGGGATAAATGGATAAAAGGCGTGATTATAGATGATATTGGTACATACTTTGTAAACAAAATAACGATAGATAGTGGCCAAACGCCGAGCGAAAAAATAAATTAAGAAAATATTCGGAAATGAGTAAAAATCTTGTTTTGTTTCAGTAGTGCTAATTATGTTGTTGACTAGTTTTCAAAAGCCATAAAAATAAAACAGCACAAAATATTCAAAAGGTACTTATTAATGTGTACACAAATAATGTATTAAGTCGTGGTGGCGCGGACGTTTATGACGCCCACTTCTCATACATGTGAGTTCAGGCTCGAAATCTACCAGCGGCAAGTATCAATATGACTTTTTCCAAGTCATATGTACTTTCTAAGATTAATCAGACAGTACTGACAAACGGTGAAGGAAAACATCGCTGATTAGGCCTCCGGTAACCTCACTCATAAGACGAAACACAACGCAAGCGTTGTTTCACGTCGGTTTTCTGTGAGGCTGTGGTATCACTCCGGTTAAAAGAGACAGACCTCTGAGTTTGTTTAGGCATTTCTTCTCAGAGTAGTCAGTTAAGAAATGTCGGCCTCATCATTCGCTTGATACAATTGACGTGTAAAAGTGCTGCCTTGTAGCCTATTTGTAGAAATAAATTCACTTGTTTCACTGGTCGAGCCAGCCCATTCGTGCCTAAGCATGGCTCTCCCACACTGAAACAATAAAAAGTACGTACACTTCGCCAGTCACAACAAGCTTTTCATCCTAGATAAGTACAAGCATTTAGTTTAAACCCACAGCTGATATACCTAAACCATCAGAAATTAACCTGGTTTTTAAACAAATTAAATACATAATGGATATTTTACGTACATTTGGCTTCAAGCCAAGGTCGGCTCTGCAATTTGACCGCTTTCTTTTTCGAATGCACACCTGTCTATACGGCGTGGCTAGTTCATCTCGACTGTGACTGTAGCATTCTGAAATATATTAATATATTATGTTTACTGAGTTTGAACTAAAAGCTGGGCTTGGTTGCGAAAGTGCGTTTATTTATTTGTTTATATGTATTTCACGTCGCATTCAAGCGATTTCATGGTATTATGTTTGTGCGTAGGTTAGGAAAGTCATATGGGCTATCCTTTCTATTTTGACTGATCACCTTTATACTCATATCAGCTACAAGTCCACTGCTGAAAATGGGCGTAACACTTAGTTTGACTATGCGGCCAAAAAGTTCAACTTAGCACAGAATCTTAAATAGCCACCGATATTTGACTCAATTTATTTGATGTTCGACAATCACTATAATAAATTTTACTTTTGTTAAGTAAGTTATACGGTAACGAAATACTATTGACACAGGCACTGTATTAATGTGCTACATATTCACAAATTCGCGGGTTCAGCCACGCACCATAGATAACCTATCACCATAGACTATACTATAACCATAGACTATACCACAGATACACAACAACTCGACGCACGCCACGTCGGTGTAGTTGTCATGTGTCATCGTTTTTCTTATCATCGACACTGGCAGAATAGTCAACTACTAAATAGTGGAGACTTTTGCCATAGAAGAAAAAAAGTAAAAAAAAATAAATTTCGAAACAACATCCACGTGGTTCTTCATTATAATGTATGTTACCAAATAGTTTTATCATTGAAATAATCGAAGCTTTGAGATATACCATTTATTTATTAAAGGTAAAACAAAGTCTGCTTAAATAGTTTTAAACTAAACATTTGGAACAATCCTGTTATTTATTACAGGTATAAACTAGATACACGGGACTTTTGGTTATACAATTATTTCAACACAAATTATGTGAGTACCAGAAAATACTAGAGTTCGTCTGTAGGTCCTAAGATTAGAGCAATGTTATGAAATGAAGCCGCTTGGCGCTTATAGTTTAGCAGTCGCCGTCTCCTAAGTACATTACCTATGACACTTTATGATTTTGTAATTTTGTATGTTTGTGTGTTCGTGTATAAGTTTGTTACTCAATTATGTCAAAATGGCTGAAGGGATTGGAATGAAATTTGGAACAGAGCTAGGTAGATTATAGTCCGAAAAAACGCGTAGGCTACTTTTTATCCGACGGGACGGGGGTAAAGCCGCGTGCAAAAGTTAGTTTGATCATAATTTTCAGAGGAAGCAATAAAGCAGTTACTTTACCCAGTACAAAAATATCAAACTATCGAACGTAGATACAAAATGATGGCAGCCGTATTTATTTTGTCATCAAGTGAAATTTTGTGGGCGTCTGTAATAGCTAGTACCTAATTCATGTATTTACATTACATGTCACAAATTGTAGACCATCCCTACACCGCACAATGTGGGTGTAAGACAACCTACAATACACGTAAATGTCATTGATGACACAACACCGTGCTGTATTTTTCTATGAAAAAGTAGCCAAGAAATATGACCACATTAGGACATAAAGTTTCCATGATTCATAGGTTTTTTTAACTACTGTGCTCTTGACTCGTTCTTGTTTGACTTTCAAGCAAATTGACATTATAGTTCCCCTAAATATGTCGCGGAGAACCTAACGGGTAACCAGGGCTCCGGCTCGACGTGCAGGAGAGGGAACGGGGTGGTTTTTAGTCAGTAAGAGTCTGACACTCCCTTCCACCTCACCCAGGCGGGAGCAGTCATTCGATGATTTTCCCCCCTTAAAAAGTTCCCCTAAAGATAAACATAATATAAGACTTCTCGAAGGTTAACATAACTTAGCCTATATTTTTCCTAAATTATACTTCCATGATGCACGTAGCATTCATTGCGCAGAGCCGAAATTACATGAATACAAAATTAACTTCTGTGGAATCAGTACAAAAATTTCAATCTCCTGTGTCAAAAGTTCAAAAATGACGAAAATATAATATAATTATTAGCTGTTTACTTCCTCAATGATCTTGATGCTATTATAATAATAAGAGAATCGTTCAAGTATTTGGTAAACATTTGTATGACAACTAATTGTTTTGAATGTACCTACTATTTGACTCATCATATTAATAAACTAGAAGTTTGATTTTTGTTTTTTTTTATATATATTTGATGTGCCGACGTTTGACCAATATCTCGCCTGGTGGTAAGCAATGACACTTACAATTATCGTGAGACATAATAAAATATGTATGTGGAATGACTTCTTTATGTAGCGTAGTTGACATGGTAACTCGACTAGATTCAAGCCATGCCCGGGGTCTATAGAAATTAGTAGTGTGCCAAATATATTTTGAAATTACTTTAAAGTATAACGGGTCTTTTTGGGAATATCAAAGATTGACGGAATGAATGCATGACTTGTATTTTTTTAATGATCATAACAATTAGTAAACACAAGAATGAGAAACAGTTTTTCCGAAGTATCTGACTCATCACCTGGCGGAAAATATAAAAATACTTATTATTGTAGAAGTCCAACGTCATCGGCCTTTTTTTCTCCACTTTTTGGCTACACTGTCCAATCAATGAAAGGCCTATCTCACAGAACATAGAAATCCCAATCAATACGACATTAAACCTTATCTTCAGTTCTTGTAGGATTTATACCTAGAAATTAAAAATATTATTATTATTAGATTCCCATCAGTTCTTCAGGTAAACCAGAATCACACTCACTCTTTATTAGAACAACCATTTTGGGTTATTTTAGTTGAGTTTCTAATGAAATTAACAAAAAATGTTCTACATTAGGAAGTTTTTTTTTTTCTTTAACTCTGAGTACCGTCATTATAGACACAATTAAAAAACAATAGGTTGCGGTCACCGGTGTCCTCGCGGTGTTTGACAGTTTAAGAAGATCGTTGCCCCACATTTGAATTTTCTCCTGTATCGTGGGTGCGTTTACAAACATACACGATGACACTAATATTTGTAGTTCTTAAAAATAACACAATATATCTGAATAAAAGCTCAATATTTTTATTATTTCCATAACCTCAGTAACAACTATACTGTGATCTATCGTAAATAATCCTAAGACCACCAGGACAGTATTTACGAATACAGTATGAATACATGTCACAAATATGTACCTCTATTTACATACATTAACTGTTCTTATCACCCATTAGCCATTATATCAATATCTCTATTTACTTTAAACAAATCGAATGCGATAACTTGTGTTGCACTAATTCCTTTATTTGTATTGAGTACTGTCCTACATATTGGAAAGAATATATTATGACTGGGTACTGACTAACCATGAATTGATATATATATTTACATCCCGCTATCGATTGGACGTCCCATGAAGGCGAAAGTGCATTTAATCTGGCGTCCACCCGCTTTTGGCGTCCGCATACCGGACGCCACTTTTTTGGTCAATGCAACTTAGGTCCTTTTGGTCCTGGCTACACGTAGGTTAAAAATCGACAGAGGCCAAAAGATCGGTTCAATGGCTGTTATAGTATTTTGAAAAGTTCCCAAAGAAATCTCAGCGCAGATAGGGCGCTGCTGTAGCGCGTATATTCACAGCTGTATATTTTTGGGATTTTCTGGCTATAAGTCCGCGTATTTGGCGTCCTCAAAAAAATAACAGCGACGTTGCCAGTTCGCTTATTAAATCCGTGGAAATAGTTCATAATATTATTTACCGCATTCAAAACAATATTCATCGTCGTACATTTCGGATGTGTTGCGTATTATTTGGAGTCCGATTTTATTATAATCATGTGATTGCAACTTACGACAACTTATCTGCAACCCTGTTCTCAATTTGTAAATGAG